CTCAGCCAAGTACCTTTACAACTAACAAACGAGAGATGTCGCTTTTAATAATTGTAATTTTTAAGTTTTATTGAATGACACGTGTTTGACCACCATGATATTCAATTATTTTTGTCAAATTACTCCATCAGTTTGTTGTAGGTACTAATAATAATAAATAACAATAAATCTTCACTTCAGTTATACTATTAACTTTACATGAACGGTGGATGATGCTTCCTATTAAGCTTATCAAGCCTGTTGCAGGAGGCATGGCTCTTCCACAGCTATAAAAGCACATTTTACACTTTAACTTAAAATTTTCGTGTGTAATTTCAATTAATTTAATTTTTACACCTCCAAACAATCTCTAAATAAACAATTCCTTTTAAAACTTTAATTTGAATCTTAAAACGTGTGTGCGCTGGTCGCACGTACGTGTATAAAGGTGTGAGAGCGCTTCTGGTGCTGGTGGAGTTCTGTTGATTATAATGTTGTCGGGAGTGTAGTATAGTAGCCTCCGCAGCCTCCGCAGCCTATTACTTTAGTAAGTTTAACGTTCAGAATTCAAAATGGTAAAGAACCAGTGGTAATAAATCCAGTTTTATAAATATTTATTCCAGTGTTAACAATATTTATGACCTTTAAAAAGTTTCTCGTACAAGAGATTTTTGGGAACGGCTCAAAAATTAAGAAGAGAAGACGTGTTCGCTGCCGCGATCGAGCAGGGAGTGACGAACAAAACGAAATGAAACGATAATGAAACGATAATGAAATGAAAACGAAACGAAAAATGGTACTATTCAAAATTTTAATTTAAATACGAGTAGCCAGGAACCGGAGAAAGGCGATAAAAAGGTAGGGATGACGATGTAAGGAGGTCACACCATCACAAGGGTGTGTATGTATATGGATGAGTGTTTTTTTAAACCTGTTGCCATAGACGAAGAGAGTAGTGTTTTTAAAGCAAATACTTCAATAGATCTTCGCTTTCCTCGTACGATTTCGACTGTGGCCATTTTGAGATAAGTTGTATGCAGTCTAGTCTTGCGTAGGTAATTATTAACACGAAAATTGAACACTTATCGATTTCGCTACAGTTTTAAACCTCACAAAGTTTGAATATCAACCGGGATCTTATTATAGAAGCGTATCTAGTAATTGGGCAAATCAATACAAGATCTGCTTCGTTCTGGGCCGTGGTTGGTTCAGCAGGTGCAATTGCCGTCTAGTACCTATAATAGGAACTTTTGAGCCGGGAACGATACAGGCCGGGATTTTCTTTATGTTACGAATTGTTGAAAAAATCTCAGTGCCGATCTTTATGTTGTTTGGACTATTTCACATGTAATATAATATAATATATCTACAAAGTGCTCTTTATTTCACACAGAAACATAATTCGCTGGTTTGAAGAATAGTGGTACAATCCAAAACAGTTCCATTTTAAACTTATTATTGAGATTTGTTCAAATACTAAATTCGATTGTAAATGAGACACCGAACTTTCCATTGGTTAAAATAATTATATGACAACGTTGGGATGGTGTACATTGACTTACAAATAAATGGACGACGGGTCTAATACAAAAACCACGAAAAAAATGTTCCAAGTCAACCTATTCGAAATTTAAATTGTAATGTCATCGCAGTATCGCGTTGTCAGTAGAACAAATGAAGACTAAAGCGGAGTTTGGCGCTCTGTATACGATTTTAGCGCCTTACAAGTGCGGACACTTTTTAGCGCGGACCCCACGTCCATATAATTGTAAGTCAATGATGGTGTACGATATGTCAGTTTTGCGCGGCAAACATGTCTCTGTTTGTTCAAACCATCGTCTTCCTTTTGTGCTAGACCACTATTATATAGACCATAGGCATGTACATCATTCTGCCCTTATAGCAGTTTAGTTTTCCGCGGAGCTTCTCGTTAACACAATTGGTTTATATCGTCAGATTTATCTCCTGGTCGCATCCCGTGTGCAGCGGCGCGCGCGCAAGTTCACACCTCGCGCGAAATGGGAAACGATTACTGCATCGGAAGTGGCTGCGCGGCTGTGCTCGGCGCTCGCTTCCTCACGACAGACTTCACTAGGTCACTACTGGAGGTTACTACACATTTTCATACTAGCGACGTCCGTCAGACTCCACAGGACGCATACTAGTATTGGTTTGTCTATTATACAAGCTGCATTATAAAGTGTGAATTTTAAAGAAAAACCATTACGATCTCATAGCAGGCGTAAATTACATAATATATATATATATATATACAAGCAGTGGTTATTAACCGACTTCGAAAAAGGACCAGGTTCTCAATTCCACCGTTCTTTTTTTTGTGTATGTTAAGTCTTCTCTCTTCTTTTTTTTCGATTTCGACTCTTTTTTTGTTCAGCAGAGGATACCTCAGTATTGGTCCCATTTAAATTTGCAGAAAATATTCCACATTCCTAAGGGTGGCAAACTAGGGAATGAAGCCGGTTTCGCGCACTTTCTGGTAACAGATTAGTTAGTAATCTTCCAAAAAAAAAAATCCTCGAACTTATGAGATCGGTTTGTTTTATGAAAAAGTTATAATTATTTCAATTTCAGGTTTGCAAGACTTAAAGATAAACTAATTTCATTACATCGAGTTCTTAGGTTTTCGCGAATGCTACAGATAGGAAATAAAACTATTTACTATGTAAATCGCATATATTTAATGACTAAAAGATCTCAGTCAGCCGTGACCTTAGGACCTATAAGGGCCCTAAATATTTTGGTTTGTTTGAAAAAACAAATATACGCAATTTAGATCCGAAAATATAATTTTATTTCCTAATCTCTTTGTATAACATAATCTAACATCTAATACAAGTAATTCAAATGTAAAGGAAGCTATGTCAATATTAAAATCAACAAATAAAAAGGGTATTTAATTATTATTATACTTTATTAGCATTTATTTATATTTTTAGTAGCAGTAGAGGTCGTTGTGAAAGAATTCGTCCAAAAAGTACTGCCACCTTACCTATTTCTGCCGCCAAGCAGTAGTGTGACTATTCCTGCGTTCCGGCTTTGACGGGTACGAGTGCTGTTGATTACAAATGAATTACAGGCAAATTCAACCTCATCCCTTCTTCCCCGTTCCTGCTCAGAAGCACGCGTGCTGGCCTTCGTAGTCACCGTTTCACTACCTGCCGCATTCCATCGCGTACTAAAAGGTTCGGTGGCTCCTTTCTCTGCCGCATGGTTGACAAATGGAACTCCCTTCCGGCACATGTCTTCCCTCCCTCTTATGATATGGGGTCCTTCAAACGAGGTGTGAATAGGATGGAGGTGGCTAGTGCAGTGAGGGTTTCGTCGCTGCACTAGGTTCCTTCGCGTTTGGATACCACTTTCCACTTAACATCGGGTGGAGTGGAGTCATTTGCCTGTCATATATAAAAAAAAAGTGAGACAGCAGTGTCCCTCATCATGTTACGGGATTTAAAGCTCTGAGTGTCACTGCAACTGCCATGGATAGACGTGTCGCTTACCACTTGTTATTATAAAAAAATACAAACTTCATAAGGCTTAGTACGATTAAATCTTGGACTCACAGCATATTTAAGTATTTTCTTTGCATTAGTACCTACCTAAAAATAGATCGGCTATATTTAACTATAAAACAATTAGTTATTATTAGTTAGGTACATAAATATAATTATGAGTTAACGTGTAGCAAACCTTCTGAATCATGTCTTATTTTTAAGCCAGGATTTGGCATTTTTTTTATATCTTGGCTTATTCATGGCGAAGTAGAATTTTTATTCCAAGTAAAGGAAGCAGAAAAAAGAAGAAGCAGTGAGAAGTTGTACGCGAGACGAAAAATTATCGAATCGTCTGTAATTGGTTAAATATGTGTAATCAAATAGAATGGTTGAGTAAATAGTCCAACAAGATCTCAAAAAGTACTTAATTTTGAACAAAACTCGTACGTACCTGTTTTGGATTGCTGTTCGTCTTACTGTCTCCCAAACAAATAATAAATTTGTTAGAGCGGATGCTATGCGTTAGAAACATGGCAAACCAAGGAACGAACTAAGTCAATCAATCTCCTCCCCAATTTTCCGCATCCAACCACTACTCGCGACCTTCTTCAGATCGTCGGTCCATCTTGCATGGGGACGTCCTACATTGCGTTTGCCGAGACGTAGTCTCCACTCGAGAACCTGTCTACTCCATCGCTCATCGGTTCTGCGACAAATGTGGCCAGCCCACTGCCAATTCAGCTTACTACATTTCTGGACGATGTCCATAACTTAAGTCTTATGCCAGATAACTTAGTTCCAGACTTTGTCCCTTAACGAGATACCCAGCTAACTAAGTAATGAACCCAAACTAAATTTTATTGTAGGTAATATTATAGATTTACTTTATTACGGCCGTAGAGTTTTCCGAGGTCCACATTGTTTTCCTTCGCCGTCAGAGCAAGTAGTAGAAATTCGACTGCACACTTTCAAGCCCTCTGTTAGCCAATAGTTCTGTTGCATTCTCACACCGCTTGTATGTATCGATATACCTTGCGCAGCTTATTCTTATCTCAAGTCTATATCCCAGTGGATTTGGTAGAGGCTTTTGATTGCCCTTACTTGATATATTGTATTACGTTATTTGTTTCCTACTCACACATCACTTTTCTTCCCTTTGATAATGAGTGTAAGTAACATTATATTCCAAGGTTTTGTGTGTTTTCTTCGCAAAATTTTCCTTAGCAACTGAAATTATTTTTTCATATCTAAATAGAGTAACCAACGTTTCTCTTTACAGATCCAATAATCACGACTGAGTGATTTATTCATGATTTAGATCCGAAAAAATAATTGCATTTTCTATTTTCTCTAATCTAAATCTCACTAAATAATTAAGTAAAGAGAAACAACTATCATTCAGAATGAAATTTCATTTATTACCATCACTCAGGTGAAAGGAAAACACGTTGATGTAACTGCAGTAAATGCAGTTGATAGACAGCGGCTGCACCCTGTACCTCATTCTGTTTATTCGATGATACTCGTACCTTCGCTCATAATTTCATAAGCCCTTGTAACTGCAGAGGTGATATCAGCAGCAGGCTCCCCTGCGTTTACCAGCCATGTGCTACCGCTCTCGCCCAGCTTGTATGCGTCGATCACACCCTGCGCTGCAGATTCTGAACTGCGAAAGTGATAGATTTTGTTGATTTAGGTTTTAGGAGGTGGGGTGTGAGCTGATTTTTTTGGAGACAATGGATATTAAGCCTTTTTTGGCGATTACAATATTTTTGCTAACTCTGTCTAAAAATGTTTGATGCTTTTAAGGTAACATTTGCGTTTAAAAATATGCAAAAAGGTGCAACACGTTTTTTGACGCTTTGTAAACGAAGAAATAGTGATGTACTATGGCGGTTGCGATAACAAGTGGGGTCGCTTAAGTTATGATTTCTTTATACATATGTTTAGTAGCAGTAAAGGTCCATGTGAAAGAGTTCGTCCAGGGAAGTACCGGAAACTTATAGTGCGTCTCACGTATTAGATATAAGTTGACAAGTTCCATGTGCCTGTAATTTCACCAGCACCCTTACTTACCCTTTAAACCCGGACCACAGTCATGCCCACATTACGGATTAGCTTCAGAAATAGGTCCTTACCTTAGTTTCGGGATGAACAAGAAAAAAAAACTATAAATGATTTGTGACGAAATGAATTTATTGTTTCTCAAAATATTTTCCGTTAGCGTTAATACACTTTTTCATACGAATTTTAAGAATAAAAACTCCAATGTAGTAACTTAAACTTATTTATTCG